AAGAGAAGAATATTTGTACGCTGGCACCAGAATGAATATTACATTCTGCAGTGCATTGTGCCTACTGTTAAGCATGGAGGTTTAATAATGGTATGGGGTTGTTTTAAATAATGGTATAGAGTTGCAGGTCACAAAATAGGAGATTTGATCAGAGTTCGTGAAAATATGAAAAAAGAGCAATACAGAGAAATTTTGGAGAATCATGTTGTTCCATCTGCTCATCGAATGGTGGTTCAACGCCAACCTGTTTTTATGCAAGATAATGACCCAAAGCACAAATCTAAATTTTGTACAAATTACCTGAATCAACTAGTACAAGAAAAAACCTTTCAATTAACATTATGTTCATACTAAACTTTGAAGAACGTTTAATAAATTTGTTAAAAAAATTTTTTTTAACTTACTGCAAAATATTTTTTAAAGAATTCAAAAAAAAAAAATTTTTTCAAAAATTTTGCTTTGGAGTTGTACTCAAAAAATTTTAGCAACTGGAGTCAAAGCCGTTTTTTTTTACAACTCCACACCCCTAATACACACACATATATATATGTGCGTATTTATATCTATATATATATCTATATATATATATATCTATATATATATATATATATATATATATATATATATATATATATATATATATATATATATATATATATATATATATATATATATATATATCTATACATATATATATATATATATATATATATATATATATATATATATATATATATATATATATATATATATATATCTATATATATATATATATATATATATATATATATATATATATATATATATATATATATATATATATATATATATATATATATATATATATATATATCTATATATATATATATATCTATATATATATATATATATATATATATATATATGTATATATATATATATGTATATATATATATATATATATATATATATATATATATATATATGTATATATATATATATATAGATATATATATATATATATATATATATATATATACATATATATATATATATATATATATATATACATATATATATATATATATATATATATATATATATATATATATATATATATATATATATATATATATATATATATATATATAGGGTGGGCGCAAGGCCAATGCAAATTATGCCGTCGCATAATTTATAATAATAATAATAATATATATATATATATATATATATATATATATATATATATATATATATATATATATATATATATACAGATATATATATATACAGATATATATATATATATACAGATATATATATATATATATATATATATATATATATATATATATATATATATATATATATATATATATATATATATAGATATTTATATGTATATATATAGGGTGGGCACAAGGGCAATGCAAATTATGCCGTCGCATAGGGCACCAGGGTTTTTGGGGCGCTACTCTTGTGTGGCCGACTGTTTTTTTTCTTTCTTATTATTTTAAATCATATTTTTGATAAAAATAAACTTAAATATAATTTTGGGCTTTCATAATGTGCACAAGTACTTAGTTGTTTATATATTGGGGGCGTTAAATTTTAATATGTTACAAATTTGTACATTTTTGTTCAATAAAAAATTAAATGTTAAAATGGTTAAATGTTGAATAAACTTTTGAATTAATTGTTTATTTGAATCATGTTTTTTGTTTCTTAAATGTATATTGTAATTGTAAATTTACGTTTAGGGGCGCCATAGTTTATTTTTAAACAATTAACTTTTTTTCTGTTTTTGCTCTGCGTTTCAATAAAAAAGTAATAGTTAGTTAAATATTTGAAAATTAATATTTAAATATTTGAAAGTTAATTTGTTAATGTTTGAACTACATTTACTCAGTCATTACTCCACATATAGAAAATTAAAAAAATGCCTCATGGAATTTTACAAACTCTCTCAAGAGCTTGTGTTTATCTATCAAGTGATCTTTTATTGAAAGTTAATTTGCTTATATATCTTATTACTCAACAGATGACAATCTTTGTAAAGCATTACTGAAAAAATTGAATAATGCTTTTATAGAAGTGGTATTTTGAAAAAATAAGTTTATGAGTCATCAAAAACAGTAACAAAAAAAAAAATCTTTGGGTTTTTTTTGAAGAAAACACAAATAAGATATAGAGATAGAAGACTATTCAGTTGTAGTACAAACTGTAAGATTTGGTATAAGAGTGCATTTATTACAAACTAATTAGTTAATAAACACAAAACAACAATAATTTAGAGATATAATAGATTACTGTTATTTATGCTTTAATAACCATTGTGTTCTATTTTTATAATATTCTTCTCTTGATGTTGGGTGTTTTTATAAATCATAACAAACAGAAACTAAAACAACTTGTACTCTAGGAGAAAAAGATTTAAAAAAAAAATTCACAGTCTCAAGATATAAAAGGCATTCCTGATGAAACAGAAGGAGCTGTTACTTTTTCTGTTTAAGAGCAAATTAATTTACAACCAAGTATCAGTAGGAGTGTGTCAAATTGATTATTTTTATTCAAGGTCAAATTGATTATTTTCATTTAACCTTTTTTAGAAAAAAATAAATTGAACACAAATACAGCAGAAACTCTTGTTTTGAAACAGAAACCTTTCTGAGACAGAAGCTTTAACTCCTCTCTTTGAATTGTTTTGAAACAGAAACCTTTCTGAGACAGAAGCTTTAACTCCTCTCTTTGTATTGTTTTGAAACAGAAACCTTTCTGAGACAGAAGCTTTAACTCCTCTCTTTGTATTGTTTTGAAACAGAAACCTTTCTGAGACAGAAGCTTTAACTCCTCTCTTTGTATTGTTTTGAAACAGAAACCTTTCTGAGACAGAAGCTTTAACTCCTCTCTTTGTATTGCTTTGAAACAGAAACCTTTCTGAGACAGAAGCTTTAACTCCTCTCTTTGTAATGTTTTGAAACAGAAACCTTTCTGAGACAGAAGCTTTAACTCCTCTCTTTGTATTGTTTTGAAACAGAAACCTTTCTGAGACAGAAGCTTTAACTCCTCTCTTTGTATTTTTTTGAAACAGAAACCTTTCTGAGACAGAAGCTTTAACTCCTCTCTTTGTATTGTTTTGAAACAGAAACCTTTCTGAGACAGAAGCTTTAACTCCTCTCTTTGAATTGTTTTGAAACAGAAACCTTTCTGAGACAGAAGCTTTAACTCCTCTCTTTGTATTGTTTTGAAACAGAAACCTTTCTGAGACAGAAGCTTCAACTCCTCTCTTTGTATTGTTTTGAAACAGAAACCTTTCTGAGACAGAAGCTTTAACTCCTTTCTTTGTATTGTGCAATTCTTTTGTACTCAAGGATTAGCTTTTCGTGAAACAAGTGAAACAGTTTTCAAAGAAAACAATGGAAACTTTTTAAAACTTGTTAAACACATTAAAAAATTTGACACTTTTCTTTTGAACATCTTCATTGGATAACTGCAAAATAAATTCATGTATATTATTAAGCAAAAAAGTTCAAAATAGGTTTATTGGCCTTTGTTCCTGTAAAGCTACTGAGTTTATCTTGTGTGAACTGCAGTAAACTTAGTATTATTTCATAATTTTTGACTGTATATTGACACATATAATTTTTGATATTTGTTGTTCTGTTTTTCTATGCAGTTCTAGGAGACAATGTAAACATGAGGAAACATTTTTTTAGATTTTTAAGGTCTTATACATCTGAGCAAGGGTTAACAGCTTGTGAGACAAGATCTCAAAAAAAAAAGGAAAACCCTTACAAAATATGCGTGGTCACGGTTATGATAATGGATCAAGCATGGAGGGAAAGAATGTAGGCGTACAAAAAAGGGTCCTTGACCTTTACCAACGAGCATTTTTTGTTTTTTGTGAAAGCTATTCACTAAACCTTGATGTCAATAATGCAGCACTTCTACAAGCAGCAGAGGAATTTGAAAACTAGAGATTTCAAATTCCTCTGCTGTTTGGTCACTTGGTATGATGTCTTGTTAAATTTAATTTAGTAAGCAAAACACTTAAAATGAAAACTGTTAATCGAAGCTAATGCTTTGAAACTAATTGAAAGTGCAAAAACTTTTTTGAAGAATATTAAATAGGAAAATGGGCTGTATAGTGTTATTACAGATGCGATGGACAAAAACTGATCATTGATCCAAAGTTCTCTGAAAAAGTTATTAGGCCGAGCAAGATCAAAAAGCAATTTTCCATTAAAGGTAATTGATGAACCTGTGAAGTCTGCAAACAGAAGATGAACCTGTGAGGTGGGCTAAAGAGTTTTTAAAAAAAAATTTCATTTTTGTAGTCTTACAAACTCCTATTAATTCTGTCAGAAAAATTTGAACAGATGAAAAATCAAAACAAAATTTTGAATTTTGCTTTAACATGAAAATAAATAGAAAAACATGCACTATAAAAAAAAGTGCAAAAACTATATATATATATATATATATATATATATATATATATATATATATATATATATATATATATATATATATATATATATATATATATATATATATATATATATATATATATATATATATACATATACAAATAGTATTGCGTACTAAGGTAAGCTATCTGACGTCATATTGAAATAGCCTGCTGCTGGGGGCTTCAGTACATACATAGACTAACAAATACCCTGACTCGCAGTGGAGTGCTGCTACATCGACTGAGGGTTTTGGATGAGGAAGCAATCATTTTATTCATCATTCTTCGTTTTTTCTTCTTCTTTTTTGAAAAAAACGGTATAGCTTAAGGTAAGCAGAAAAAGTGAGCAAATGCTTATCAAAACACGCTTTAGTAAGTGTGTGTGTATATATATATATATATATATATATATATATATATATATATATATATATATATATATATATATATATATATATATATATATATATATATATATATATATATATATATATATATATATATATATATATATGGCATAATGTTACATGATTTAACAAATTTCACTCACCTTTTTCAAGTCTTCTTTTGTTTTCATTCTGGCAAAAACTGTTTTAATTAAGCTTGACATGTCAAAGGAACCTTTTCCATACCTATAAATTTTTTTTTTAAATTACAAATTTATATTTAAAATTAGTTAAATATTTTGCTATTTGTTAGCAAAAAACTTACAAACTAAATTTAATTAACAATTAATAAAAAATTTTTGTTAAGAAATACAACTTAGTGTTAATAAAAGAAAAAAAATATCATTTTAATTTTATTTTTTTTCTCCATATATATGTTTATATATTTGTTTTCTTCATATTTCAGTTTATTTATTTGTTATTTCCATATATCAGTTTAATTATTTGTTATTTCCATATATAAATGTATTTATTTATTTTCCTCATATATCAGTTTAATAATGCTATGATTATTTTTATCAGTTTAATCTAGAGTTTGGTCTGTTGTAATTGTAATGAAAATAATAACAGAAACAATAACTATTGTTATTGTATTAACTTTTTTAGAAACAATCACAATATGATTTACAATTATTTTAATATTGTAATAAATACAATAATAATTTAATAAAATAACAATAAATATTGTATTACAATTCATCTTCATAATACAATAACAATAACTGAAAAAAAAAGTATTGTAATGACGCACTACTATACAATACCTATTGTATTGTAATTCATCTTTATAATACAATAATTTATTGTTATTGTAATAAAATTTTTTTTTGTAATATCAAAATTTAATAAATGTTTTAACAGACCAGTTTCCGAGATATGTGACCTTGAAATAGGGTACAACTAATATATAATTATTGATTTTATTTCTATTTTATTTACTGAATATCACATGTCCTTGTTGCAAACTTTATGTAGCTCTATAAAAGTAAGTTTGATCTGACCTGTACTACTTTTACTACTGGGGATAGACATGAATAATTACTACCATTTCTTCCACTTAGTTATTTGCTTTTACATTGGGCACCTATCCAATTGTTTCCAAACTTACTCAACTAATACTTACTCTAACATAACTTTGTCTTGTATTTCCCTTAGAATTTTATGGCTGTATGTGTTCCATAAAGTAACAGGACTTTTGGATCTAGTTGCAAAGTTGTACAAGAATTTTGTAACATAAATCAAGAACAATATTTATTTGGTATGCTAAACAGCCTCATTTTTCAAAAATGACTTCCTACAAAATTTACTGGTACAGTCTGAAAAGTGATGAGTAATTTAAAAATGTAGATAATTACATTTTTAGCGTAATTCAGCGTTATGGAATCAGAGAACCAGGTCAATGGTTCTCTGATTCCATAACGCTGTAATTTATTACTCATTAGCGGTTAATTATATTGAAAAAAAAATTATTTTCATGTGTTTTATGTAGTTAATCAAATAGTTTAGACGTCATCATCTGGTGAAACATTTCAATATCAGTTTAGACAAAATTATAAAAAAATCAAAAATCTCACTTCATAAAGTAAATAATTATTTAATTACAAGCCTATGATAAATTATATATTTGTATGATTTTGAATGTATATTAATGATAATTCTAAATATATAAAGTATAATATATATACTATAAAATATATAAAAATATTGAATAATATTAATGTTAATTCTAAATAAATTATTCTTTAAACAATTATATTATTGAACTCAAAATAAATAAAATTTATATATGTAAATGGTTGCTAGAAACGGGTGCCACTGAACTTAATATTTATTAAGCATATGTAATATATATACTTCTTTGGTTTTCCTAGCTTCACTTCACTTCTCAAAATAAATAAAATTTATATATATAAATGACTGCTAAAAAAGAGCATCACGAGCACCTCTGAATTTTCTAGTGTCCAAAAAAGATAAATGCGCAAAAAAAGAATCTAAATACTTTAAAATATTATAGCTATTGGACTTTGAAATAGTATTACAATATACCACAATAATTATTGTAATTGTTTTTCATCCCAGCAATACAATACAAAAGTTATTGTAACTGTTTTACACTCCAGCAATACAATACAAAAGTTATTGCAACTGTTTTACAATATAATAGTTTAAATTTTATAATATAATAGTTATAATTGCAATACAATATAATAGTTTTAGAAATTCAATGTATTGTTAGAAAAAAAAACAATACAATAGTTATTTTAACTGTTTTTAATCACAGCAATTCAATAACAATAAATAATATTTTAATTACATCTCTTGTATTACAATGCAATATTATTGTATTGTAATGTGTTATTGAATTTAATTTTTACAATTACAACAGTCCGAACCATAGTTTAATTATTAAACTAACTTTAGACTGATTGATTGGTTTTGATAGATTGTCAGTTTTATATTTTATATATATTTTTATATATATTTATATAATATATATATTATATATATATATAATATATATATTTTAAATTAAAATTAAATCAAAAGAACTACTGTTGTTATTTAGTTCAAGGTAAATGTACAAACAGGTACAACATTTAAATGTACAAACAGGTACAACATTTAAATGTACAAACAGGTACAACATTTAAATGTACAAACAGGTACAACATTTAATTGTACAAACAGGTACAACATTTAAATGTACAAACTTACAGGTACAACATTTAAATGTACAAACTTACAGGTACAACATTTAAATGTACAAACAGGTACAACATTTAAATGTACAAACAGGTACAACATTTAAATGTACAAACAGGTACAACATTTAAATGTACAAACAGGTACAACATTTAAATGTACAAACAGGTACAACATTTAAATGTACAAACTTACAGGTACAACATTTAAATGTACAAACAGGTACAACATTTAAATGTACAAACAGGTACAACATTTAAATGTACAAACTTACAGGTAAAACATTTAAATGTACAAACTTACAGGTACAACATTTAAATGTACAAACTTACAGGTACAACATTTAAATGTACAAACTTACAGGTACAACATTTATATTAAAATAATATTTTTTTATGCTAAAACATTACCTCTCAAAAAGTTTTTCCCAGTTTTTAATAACAAAATCTTCTGCCATTTTTGTTCCTTTAATATTAGTAGAAATATGTTCAATTACCCCACAGGTGTCTTGTGTTCGAATTATGGAAGTATTCATAGACCAACTCAAATACCTTGCAAGAGAAACAGCTATAGTGATTACAAGTTATTAAAAATATATATATAGTCCTTTTTTATATATTTTCTTCATTGAGTATTATTAAACATTTTTATTTATAAAATTTTATATATTTTAAAAACTTACTTTTTCAAAATTGATTCATCGCTACTATCAGCTAGTGCAAACATGATTTTACGTTGCTCAGAAGGAAATGGAGAATTAAGGTACTTATTTAACATAAACTCCCATTGTTCTTTTCCACCATATTTTATGCCTGCCAAATACACTGTTGAACGCAAGTTTGGTGCAACACTAAAATCATTTACTTTATTTTGTTTGTTGTTGTTTTATTTAAAACATTTAAATTTAAACTAAAAATTTTTTTAAAACTTACCTCTCGTGATTGTTCATAAAGCGATCAAATATTTCTAAAGCCCTTTTGACAGAATCAGTGTCATTGTGCATGACAGATGAGCGTAATGCAGCTCCTCGTAAATACCTGAATTAAAATAGTAAAATAAAAACATGCTAATAATATAGAAAGTACTGTATAAACATAAAAGTACCTATTCAGATGAGTCCCCTCATCACTCCAACCAAGTTTGTCAACAATTGGTTTTACTTGTTGAATTATATACTTCTAAATATATATATCAAAGAAAACCATTTATAAGAATAATCTCAACAAAGCAGATTTGCTAAAGAAAATTTTTTTTACTTGATATGAACTGTAGCACGATCTTCCTTGTAAAAGTCCACCTATATATCCTAGTGAACCAAGTGCTGTTATCCATGGAACATACTCATCTTCATTTTTCAAATATGCAGTCATTTCTAAAGCTTTTATTTGATCCAGTTTGCCAGCTCTATACACAATACATTTATTACATTTATACAGTTTGCCAGCTCTATACACAATACATTTATTTTATAATAAAAGGTCTTAATAATATATGTATAAAGTAAAAAAATCACTAAATTTTTAACTTGCTGTAAATAAAATATAAAGTTGAAAAATCTTTTGTTTTACTCACTTTGCTAATTCAAATGCATCATCTATAAGATTTGAGCGATCTGATGTTGAAAATGCCTAAAAGTAAAATTTAAATGTTAAAAATACCATGAAAACACTTTGTAAAAGACTTTTATTAGTTAAAATATCTTAATATAAACAGATTGCAAACACTTTATAAAAGGCTTTTATTAGTTAAAATATCTTAATATGAACAGATTGTAAACACTTAATAAAAGGCTTTTTTTAGTTAAAATATCTTAATACAAACAGATTGTAAACACTTTATAAAAGGCTTTTATTAGTTAAAATATCTTAATATAAACAGAAAAGATGAAAACCATATTTTTCATTATTCTTCTTTTTCTAAAAAAAACTTTTGGTTGTGGACTTGTTAGGAACATAACACAAAAAAACATCACATAAAAAAAGTTATTCAAAACTATTAATATTTAAATTATGTACTTTGTGGTTGTCTTGAAGCTGTTTTGAGAGCAAGTTCCAGTTGTCTTCATCGTAATTGACTCGATAAAAGTTTAACTGATCAATATTTGCTTTTATCCAACCAGAAGCATTCATCATAGGAATGTTAATTGAATCTTAAAGGCATTTTTTAAAGATAAGTATTTAATTTCTTTAAACATAAAAAAACTTAAAACAAAATTTATTTAAAACATAATAATTTCTAAAAAATAATAATTAATTCTAGTTTCCCATTTCAATTTTTAAGTACCATTATTACAATTTTTAAGACAAATTTATGAAGCTAAAGTTATAGTTTTTTTTACCACAATTGTAAGGAAAAGTGCAACCATTTAAAAAATATATAGGAAAACTTTAAAGTAATTGAAAGTCAAGTTAACAAAAAAAATTGCAGTGTCGATGCCTTACTTATTCGTTAAACTTAAGTTTGAGATAATGTAGTTTATGTAGATAAACTTTTTTTAAGATAAAATTTACATTATCTCAAACTAAGCAGATTTTTTTGATATTTGAGATAACTAACTTCTAGACATGGAGCAAACTCTAAACATTTATACTTATGTCAAATAAAGATGCTTTGCAATATGTTGTAATGATTGGAGACTGGGAACAAATAAAACCCAAAAATTTTCACCAACCCTGCCCCAAATGTGATTGCAACAAGATGATAAAATATTTTTTTTACCATTTTTAACTAAATTTATATTGATCAATAAATATTATAGAATTTCTATTAGCTTATGATTAGCAATAACAATTCTCCAATTTTATGTGCTCCAGTTAATTTGCCTGTTATAGCTTCTACTAGTAGTCATTTTGTTCCAAATTGTTTATTAGTTGATGTACCTGCTACAAAAACTCTTACAGATTTATCTTCTTTATTTAGTTATAATTTACCTGCTATAACATGATGGATAAATACTTATGACCAAATAAGACATCAAAATTTTAAAATAATTTTTGCAAAGGCAAATGGAACTACTACTGAATTTTCAATATCTCAGAATCCATTATGGATTGAACTTTTCTAACAAATAAGACCTGCTTGGAATACACCATTTTGATACAAACTTGTAGGGCCTTAAAAGCTTATACTTAAGATCTTAAAAGGATATAATTAAGATTCCTTACATTTAGTTTAACCACCTCTAAAATAATTGTCTGGTTTTTTTTTACATATGTTCTCAATTGTAAAGCATACATTTGTTTAAACATCAAACAACATTGAGAAAATAAAAACTTGTCTGTCTACAAAGTATATAAAAGAAATGTAGAAATACTTTGCATAGAAAAAGCATAATAACACAGTTTCATTTTGGTCAATGAGTGCAATTTGTGCCATTGGCATCACTTTGAAATACAGTTAAACCTGCAAAAGGAGGTTTTTTTCATGTGTTTGTCATGCTTTGTTTATGGAAACTTTAAATAAGTTTTATCAAATAGAGTCTATAGAATTTTTTTGGATGAAATACAAATGATAACTGAGGTGGTTGAAAGGCAGAGAAAATTCAATGTGCATGATAAAAAGCAGTAAATGTTTTGGATATAAGTTTATAGGAAATTATCTGATTCAGAAAAAAGTTAATAAACGTCAAAATAGTATTTTAATTTTTTAAGTGGAGAGATAATGAAGGATTTCGTGATAATAAAGGACTTCGTGGCTTTTAAGTCCAAATCTGGAAAAGCTTATGGCAATAACTTGATTTGAAAGGCAGCCAACTAACATGGATCCATTCGATTGTTGTTCTCCTTTCTGTAGAAGGCAACCGTTACAGAGTGTCGCATTTAAGTATACATCATTACCTGCTTATTCAGTTAAGCGCAACAATGAAAAATACACACTGCAGAAAACAAAGAAGCAAAAACAAAGATTGTTGAATGCTCTAAGGGCAACAGTAACAAAAGTTGTATACAATTTTAAAGTGCAACAATAGTTGCATTTTAAAATTGTATACAAAATGCAATGATTTTTTTCACGTGCAACAATTTTTTTTTCATGTGCAAAAAAATTGTTGCACATGAAAAAAACAACAAAAAAAAAACAGGCTTATATTGCACTTCAATTCTCTGATAGTTCTTTAGATATGAACTTTTTTTGCATAAAAACATTTAAAGGTAACATAAGAACATAACTACCGTGAATATAAAAAGTAAGTCCTTATTGTAAACAATTCTTTTTTCATAAATCATCTTATTTCTTATGTAATAGAGCATAATTTGTTATATAACATGCCTTTTCTTTTTTTTCACCACCTCATAATCCAACAAATTGAATCAACATCTCTGATTTCCACTCAAATGTGTACATTGAATCAGTAATAGAAGGTGATGATGAAAGCAATACTGACAAAGATAATCAAGACAATATTAGTTATTGAATAAACAAATATTCAAAAAGTATTAAAAGCATTAATTTATCATTAATTAACACAGTTGTTAAAGTCATGAACTTTTATTTAATCTGTTGACTTCTCTTTTATACAATTTTGAATAGTCTGTTTTATGGGTTTTATAAGAAAAATTTTAATGAAACTATGTTAAGGACAATCTATTTATTTAGATTATAGAGTATAATCTATGAAATAATTAAAACTAAAACTTTTTTAAAACTTGCAACATGAAAAAACAGTATATAATTTTTAGAGAGAAAGAAAATAGTTTCTAACAAAAATAATATTTGAACAAGTTGGCAGTCAAGTAGACAAATGCAGTCAATGCAAAGGTGTCATCAAGTGTAATTTTGGTAGTGGTGTAATGGGAAGTGCTTACTTCTTAAGGAAGAAGTAAGCACTTCCCATTACACCACTTTTTCCACTTAGCAACCTGGTTCATCAAGAATCATGTTTCGGAGTTGAGAGAAGATTGCAACCACATATAAATAAATAATATGTATCATCCTTAACTGTAGTGGCACAGCTATGGCACAGCTTTGGGACATTAACAACATTAAAAAATTGCAAAAAATAGTAAATTTAAAAAACACCATTTAGTTTAAAATAAAATAGAAATTGGTTGTCTAGGGTTATTGCTTATTTTTTCATCTTCAGTTAATAAAATAGGGTCTCATTTGACTGGTAAAAAATTACTGGTAAATTTACCAGTTAATTTACCAGTAAATTTTGAATTAAAAGTTAGCATAAAATTTGAACTGCTAACAATGCAAATGAGCAAATGAGACTGTTTTATTGAAAGGGGATGCATAAAGTGAAAATTCACATAACTAGTAAGCTAGAAAAGTTTTGATATAAAACAAAAAACTGCTTAAACAGCAATCCATCTTTTATTTTAAATGATTTCAATTATATTTAGTTTATTTTTTTTTTTATATATATTTATCAGTATATTTATACTATTCTAGTTATATTATTCAATCATTAATTATACAAAATTACATTAACTTTATAAAAGTTAAAAACAGACACAAGACCAAACCAACTCTAATCTATTTACAGAATACTGTAAAATATTCTGTAATTATCTTATGTACAGAAAATAAAAAAAATAGAAAAACCTGCTGAGCGATTAAACCATACTAATTGCTTTTCTTTCTTATGCTCAAAATAAAAGGTAATTGGAACATCCCACTTGTAACTAAAAACAATGTGACATAAATAAATTTGCAACTGAAAAAACGTTGACTTCAAAAACTCATTAAAATAAGTAAAAAAGAACAAAATTTTTTGTAAATTGCAGGATAAAGCATAATTGGCAATGATATTTATCTGATGGTATAAACTAGATATTGGTGCTGAGCCTCTTCATTATGCCAGTAATTATAAATGCGATTCTGAGGAAAAGTTTAATACCACCACTACACAAATTATGATTAATAATATTTTTATAATATTTAATGCAATAACAGTTTTCTTTATTTTAAATTACCTATCATTTTATGTTTGTTGATTTTAAATATTGGTTTATGCATATCTTTCGCTTTATTCTATTTTTGTTTTGCAGAAAAGTATTCTCATTATTTTGTAAAATTAAACTTATATTTAAACAATTTTTATATGGTGAAATATTATATATGCTATTGTTTATTCAACCTCAGGAATTTAACAATTATTTATTCAACCTCAGGATTTTTAACATTTGTTTATTCAACCTCAGGATTTTTTGCAACAAAAAAGCATTAGAAATTGAAAATATTCCTCAAAAAAAAAAAAATAATAATAATAATAAAAATAATAAATAAAAGATAAATTTAATACTAAAAATATTAAATCATTTGCCAGATAAAAATGAATATACTTAACACTCTAATATATTTCACTTTATAATGATATTAACAAATTTTATTATATATTATACATTAAATATATATAGAAAAAATTTATATAAAATATTTTTATATATAGTAAAATATTATATATTCCTCAAAAGAATAATAATAATAATAAAAATATTAAATAAAAAATAAACTTAATACTAAAAATATTAAATCATTTGCCAGATAAAAATGAATGTACTTAACACTCTAATATATTTCACTTTATAATAATATTAACAAATTTTATTATATATTATACATTAAATATATATAGAAAAAATTTATATAAAATATTTATTATATATAGCAAAAATATTTATTCTATATTCCTCAAAAAAAAAATAATAATAATAATAAAAATAATAAATAAAAGATAAACTTAATACTAAAAATGTTAAATCATTTGCGAGATAAAAATGAATAAACTTAACACTCTAATATATTTCACTTTATAATAATATTAACAAATTTTATTATAATTATACATGAAATATATATAGAAAAAATTTATATAAAATATTTATTATATATAGTATATTAACTATTAATTAACTAAGTACAATATTCACTCCATTGAGCTGCAAGAAAAATTAAAGAAAAGCATTTTATCATAACCAAGAAAACTCAAAACAGAGGTACTGTGATTAACAACTACCAAAAGGATGAGTTTTCATTTAAAAAAAAAAAAATGAAAAAAAAAAACATCACAAGAATATGAAGCAACATGTTCAAAAAAATTCAAAGATATAAAATTGATATTCAAAGATATAAAGATAAAAAGTTGAAAAGAAATCATAAAGTTCAGAACTCATTAAAGTTTAGGAATTTAAAATATGCCACGTAGTTGCATGTCAGTTATAAGCAATAAACATTATTTATAACATAAAAATTAGAAAATATATGTGTACACCCACAAGGTGTGTGTGTGTGACTACCACTAAGCTATAATCTTACTAAAGCAAGTAGGTGTAATAAAAAAATGATGGCTCAAATATTTTCTTAAAAATTTAATTTTCTTAAAAAAAAATGCTGAACTAGCATGAAAAATTGAATCTAGGGGAAATACTTCTTTACACTTTTCTTTTATACTTTTTAACTGATTTAATAAACTAAATTATAGTAATAATAATATTGACCTCTCATGAAAACATATATACATATATACGATTGTTACCATTTACTAAGGTTTCTTTTATTTATCGTGGTTGCTATTATCTCATTCTTGATTCCATTCTCTTCTTCTAAAAGCAACCCAACTTAATAGTGGTCACTTGCAGCCTTGTTGGAAGTGAATTTAAAAAAAAAAAAAAATACTAAAAATTTTTTTTTCTAGTTTGAAAATTTTAAATATTTTTCCTATTTTTATTTAGAAATTAAGCCATTCCGAAATATATTGAAATATTTTGTCAAACATTTTTCATGTTCTTTTAAAATTACAGTTGTAGAGCTTGTAATTGTCTAACTGATTGGTTTTTTCTGATTGGAAAATTAAGTTTTTTGGCTAAAAACTTAATTTTTTAATTAGAAAGCTATAAAAAAAAACTGAAAGATTTATACTATTTAAACAGTTTTACATAAAAATTGATTAAATAATAAATATTCATAAAAATGTGATTAAATAATAAGTATTCATAAAAATGCGATTAAGTAATAAATATTTACAAAAATGTAATTTTTCAAAAATGAAGCCCTCGGAATTAGAAAAAATGAGGTCAACAACTTATTGCTGACCTTAAACTATTAGATGCAGACCTCAATAAGATGATTGAGTAATGAATTAAAAAATAAATAATTATTCAAGTCATAAAATTAATTCATACATTTTATTACATTAAATGTATATTAAAGGGCCGAGAGACAGAAGCCTTTCAAAGCAACTTGGTGAAAAAGCACATTATATCAAATAAAATAAACATGTTTTTTTTAATGCACAAAATTGTGCATAATGAAGATTGTTTTTTAATATTAGTTATACAACATCAATTGTAAACTTAATAAACAACAAATTACTAAAACTAAAATCTAAAACCTTAAAATAAAATTTTCATACAATCCTGATGAAGGTAATTAATATAAAAATGAAAAAAATAAAAAATAACAAACTTAAAAGGTGATGCAGCTGTCTTGCGATCAACATCAATCAAAAAATGCTCTTGGGTGACAAGACCTTTTTCACTTTGTTCGTGATTCTTTGTTATTGTGATTAGAGGGTATCCCATTTGTAGTGTCCAGGTGTCCATGACAGATTTTACATCAATGGTATTATTGGCAGCCTTGATAATAAGATTATAAAACTTTAAAAACTATAACAGTTACAGTACAAAAAAAAAACAATACAAAATTATGAAAAATAAACAAACCTTTGTCAAACACGCCCACAAATCATCACTAACTGCATTTTTGAACTTATATTTGTTTAAATAATCCTAAAAAAAAATTTTGTTTAAATAATCCTAAAAATTATGAATTATTATTCCTAAATAAGTGTTTAAAAATCAACCTAGGAATTTTGTGGTCTGAATACCTTACCTTTTGCCTAAAGACTGAGATACATTTCAAAATAAATAACAAGTACTAAGCCAGACAATTTCATACTTGGGGGAAAAGGTAAATATCATTATAACAGGCTGTTTATATGTTTTACATGCTATAATACTGCTAATATTTGCCATGATATTCAATATTAACATTTAACATTAATATATTAGCATATTTTCACTTTTTTGTAAATCAATTTTTTGAATAACTTAATATGTTATATATTTTTTTGTTTAATTATTGTCCAGTACTTTTCAATAATAATAGTTTAATAATAATAATCTTATTTTTAGACAGTTTAAAGGATTTTCTGTTTTAGGCACAATTCTCACGTCATTATATTTACTATATGTTGATTTAACTTGTAGTTATTGCAAGTTTTGTCTTTTTTATGGATTTGTATAACAGTAGTTTTTTTTATTTATTAGGGAGTATACTGGTAATCAAAGAAAGATTAAATAGTCCAGAAAATATGGGAGAAATATTTTCAAGAAATTTAAGAATAGAGATAAGAATACTGTTTGATCAGGAAGCCTTTCTATTGTTGAGAGAAATAATAATAAATAATATTTTATAAATATTGATTTAAGATTAACACTGAGATACTGAGATTTTATTGGAGTCATAGATCATAGAGTTGTTAGAAGAAGAAGTAGAAGAAGTGTATGAACTAACAAACAAATAAATTTATCTACATGGTAGTTTATCTACTTGGTATAGTATAATTGTATGGAATAGTAAACAAATAAGTTTATCTACATGGTATAGTATTATCTACATGGTATAGTATTAAGAGTCAAAAGACTCCTAATACTATACCATGTAGATTTCAAATTTTTAGCATTATCAGAAAAAAATTTTTAGTTTTTTTTTACTTCGGCAGATGAGTGACAAGTATATGTTTCGGCAGATGAGTGATAAGTAAATTTCTATATGTTTTATAAGTTTTTTCAAGTTTAAGTTTGTTATTTGGATTCTTGAGTAACTTTTGAAACAATATATTATGCTTTTTAATGGAGGTCAAGATTCTATATCAATTGTTTGAAACTCCTAATCAAGGAGATTGCTGACATTTTTTAATGGTCCATCTAAAAGAAAATTAAAACTTTTTAAACACTCTTCAAATGACTTATTCGTTTTACTTTTGTTGATGTTAATTGCATTAGTCCAGTTAATTTTTGAAAAATCTTTACATAGTTCATCGTAATTTATTATTTTTAGTTTAGTTTGAAAAAATATAACTTGCACATAAATTTATTTTGGTTGCCTCAAATATGATCACATACTGTAGTTGTTAAACTTCATGAAAAAATATTTTTTTAAAATAGAATTAAATAAGGTTATTATAAGAAAGTTATTAAAAATTTCAGATGCAGAATTATTTAGTTGGCTATTAAAAAAATCAATATTAAAATCATCCATTAAAAATGCAGTTTTGTTTTTTCTATGGAGAGTTTTTCAAAAAGCAAATATAAATTAATAAACTCTGGAATGCAGCCTGTATTCATTTTAGCCTGTAAATACAGCCTAAAATGAGCTGCTCCATAAATACAGCCTATAATGATGTTAGATTTTTTAGGAAATGTGATTTCGAAAAACACAGATTCTTAAAAATTTGGTTTATGCATATTTAATTTGCTTTTAGAAACTATCAGTTCTATCTGACCTAAAGTTGATTTACCTTAATAACATTTATATATAAAACATTGTGATTTAAATAATTTATACATCATATATAAAAGCTATTAACATAGAACTTACTTAAAATTTATAAAAAAAGCTTACTCAATATTTGTAAAAGCTATATGTTCATAGATCTTACTTAATATTTATAAAAGATCAATAAAAAATACTTACAGTGAGGCCAGTGTGAAATACGTCGGAGCCAAGAAAATTTTTCATCATTCGAATAATTGAAGCACCCTAAATAACCAATAAAAATTTTAGTTAACATTAAATTAACAAAAATATTGATAAAAAAAAATTAAAAAATTTTTAAAAGGACTGCAAAAATTTTTCAATCATTTGTCTACTTATTCATCTACTTTAGTATTTGGTAAATGCAAAGTTAAAGTGCTTTTTACTTAAAAAAAAATGTAAAGAAGAAAAACATATTTTTAATATTATGTTATTGTTTAATAAAATCTTTTACATTTATTTTCTGTCACTTATTACAATATTTAATCAACTTTTAAAAAGTATGTAAACAATTGTGATTAAAAATCACAACTTAAGAATATTTGCATTGCTCACCTAAACCTCATTTTAAGACCTCAAATCAAAATAACATATATTTATAATTAAAAATATATAATTATTTAAATATATATCTGTATACAAATATACATACATTGGGGCAGCACAAAGTTTTTTTTATTATATTTTTTTCCTGGAAAAAATTTAGCATTTTTGAACTAAAAATGTATATCTGTTTACACTATAGTAGATATATATAACTGTTAATGGGCGTTAGCAGCCTGATGTCATACTAAAATGCAGCCCCCGGGCTTCAGTACTTACATTGGCTGATGAAGAGGTGGAACAAGCAAGTAAGCACTACATCAACTGTGAGTTTGGGCTGGGGCAGCAACCTTTTTTTTCATTATTCTTTGTTTTTTCCTCCTATTTCTGAAAAAGCTGTATGGAATATACAGTGGTTGGCCTTCACATTAGGACCACACACTCTTTTAAAACTTATTTCAGATAGATTGTTTAAATCCACATATAAAATATCATATTATTTTTTGTTACATGTCAAGTTATTTCTATTTTTATATTCTTCTTATATTTCTTAGTAATATTTGATAAAAATTTCACCAATTGGCAATTCTGGCTGTCAGCAATCACCTGTCATAGTCAAATTGGTGCGTATTACATAATTTAAGGTTATTTTTTGTTGTTAGTTTGATTGAAGTTTTAATGTGATTTATTTTAACTTAAAGCATCTGTGCTTTATTTAATTTATTTTTTTACACAACACAAAGATCGCAAAAAGTGACCAACGGAGCCATCCAGTTATGTAGACCTGGGAGATGTGAAAATAAAAACAGATTGTAGATGATGTCATTAAGGTAAAAAAACATAAATTAATGTAAAGATTATTTAGTAGGAGGAGTAAAAGTTAGCGACTCGGGAAGAGAGAGGAACAAAGCCGTAAATCTTATAAACTATAATTATTTGTTTATAAAAATAAACTTTTTAAATATATATTATTTGAAATTTCAAAACTTTGAAAATTTATTATAAATTATAGATTTTGTTAGTATATTCTTATTTTTTATTTAAAAAGTATGTATTTCTTATGTAAATATAATTTTGTGTATCTGTTTTTTATCGAAATGTAATCTTTAAAAGCAATTTTTATGATTTAATTTGTAAACAAAGATTTACAAAAATAATTGCGTTTTCAATGAAGTTATTAATAATCATTAAAGTTAATGAAACTAATTATGTAACAAACATATAAGAAGTTTCTGGTTACTAAACGCAAACAATGCATACAAAATAACTTGCGAATGAACAAGCACTGCGCTGACCTGAGGTCACGACAGAACACAAATATATATTAGATAAATAAGTTATTAGATATAAAGAAAAGTTTCTAGACATTGGTTTACTAACTCTAATTATTTTCTCTTAAGTTTCTATTCTTAAAAACTCGTTATACTTTTTTCTGCTTTAAATAGTTAAAATTAAAAAGCCCACTCACTGTTCATGGAATCAGCCTTTCTTAAAGCTACTATAGAGTTTAGGAAACCTGATTACCAGCTGGCCTGATTACCAGCTGGCTCAGAACCATAAAACTGATTTTTTTTTGAGCTGTACCCTCATTAGAAGATAATAAAATGAGTTTTCTAGTCAAAAAAACAGATGAAAAAAGCTAAACCCAGCATTAAGTCAAGAAGATCCAGCATTCAACATCCTAAACTGGAAACAATGTATTAAAAATACATCTGCACCAGCCTAATAGATGAAGAAAGGGTGCGAGGCTGGTCAACAGAAAGAATCTGTTTACCCTTTACGTACTAGGTTACATGTTACCAGTAGCAGGAAAACCTGATCTGACTTTAATTTAAGTTTTAAGATTAGCATAATATCTATTTAAGATTAGGATGATATTTATTCTAAACATAACTATTTTAAACAATTGATAACCTAATTATGTAATTAAAAAAAATTAAAATAAACTTAAATAAAAATTAAAATAAAATTAAAATAAAATTAAAATAAAATTAAATAAAAAAAAAATTAAAATAAAATTAAATAAAAAAACCTTATCGTATGAAATTGTATCAAATATTTCATTGATTTGTGCAGGATCATTAACAGTTACTGATATGGGGTGAGAATTGCTACTTGAATCAAGAGTTAATGAATTTTGTGTATCATCAACAATAAATTGATCCATCATTTGCCAACTGGGTTCTGTAATGTTAGCACCAATGAACTCCACAAAAGCAGCAAACCCTTCATTCAACCAAAGATCATTCCACCATTTCATTGTCACCAAATTTCCAAACCACTAAAAAAAAAGTTTTATTGAATAAGGCCTGTAAAAACATATAAATATACCTTGGTAGTAAGTAAAAATATAATAATATATTATAATATATTATTATATTTTTAACCACACAATGAGGTATTCTAAATCTTTATAATCTGTAATTATTGTTTTATCAGTAATAAGATCAAAAACTTTGCTTCATCAGCTTAATCAGTAATAAGATTGAAAACTTTTTAATTATTGACTTATGTTATTTTTAAAAAAGTATTAAATTATGTTATTTTTAAATTAGTAAGTCAGGTAATATATTCAAGTCATGCATTTTAATAATAACACAATTCAAGTCCTTTATATTAAAGTATATCTATTGTAAAGTGTAAATCCTTTGTATTTAAAGTATATTAATCTGTAATTTAAAAAAAAAAGTTATATTCAATTAATTAATTGTATTAAATAAAAAATTAGAGGAGGATGATGACTCTAGAAGAGGATGCTCTTTTCAAAGGTCAAAACATTAAACTCTTCATAAAGTTAGGGTTTATCTCCAAAACCCTTGCATCTTACAGGATCAACTCGTTGCATGTTAAAGAACAAAATCATTTAATATCTTATTTCCATTTTAAAGGAAATCTGTTTGCTTTTATAATATAAAAAACCAGGTCATTTGATCATTTGTTTTTTTAAGTTGTTAAAAAAATATTACAAAAATAGGGTTGTATATGTTAAGTTTCTAAGTTATATATTTTTCTTAATTTATATAATTAATTATATTTATGTGTAAATATCTTTTATATATAAAGTGTTTCTATGTTAGTGATATAATGTTATTTGTTTATAGTTTGTAAGTGGTTATTATATTATTCGTATGGTTTCAAATTGTTGTGACTTGGCTTAGTTTACAGCAAGAGTGTTGATTTTGCCAAGTGGTGTACTTTGCTGTAATGACTAGTGTACTTGACTTTGTTAAGAGCAAGAATGTTGTATTAAGTGCATTTCAAAGTAATGAATGGGATTTTATGATGGAGGATTACATTTCACTGTTCAATGCTAGCAGTACTTGCTGAGCAAGCTTTGTTTATGAGTTTTTATATGTAAAAATTTTATAATTCTTTTAATTACTTTTTGTTTTTTTGATTAAATACTAATACAATTTTGTCAATAATTAATAATAAATACCTTAAATATATAACATTACTCAGATAAAAAGATTATATCAATTTATTTATAACTTTAGTTTAATTTCTTCATAAAAATATGTTATATTTACACATTGCTATATTATTTTAAAACATCTAATTTAAATATGACTAATAGTATAGGTAAAATATAATTAGATTATTATATTATACTCTGTTTTATTTGCTTACACTTTATTTTTTTTATCTCTGTTTTATTTGCTTACACTTTATTTTAGATAAGTTTAATAAAGAAAACTAAAAGTTCAAATAATTAAGCATCATTTTTACGCATTCCTTTGATGTTTAATTATGTCTGTTGTAAAAGAATTTTAACAAAACTTTAAAACAATTCTCAACACTCCCCCAATTACTAACACCAATTCCAAACACCGCAATATTCCCCAACTTATAGTTGAACCTAATAAAATACTCTTATCAACTTCCAACATTGAATCTTTTATTTGTATTTGTATATTTGCCTAAGTCTAATAGATCACATGACTCTTGTGGAATTACTGCAGAACATCTTAAAAACTCTTCTAACAACAACCTCCTCACATGCATTTCAAAGTTTTACAACAGTATCTTTAATAATGGAGCTGTGCCAGGGTACTTATCAACTTCCATAATTATTCCAGTAGTAAAACCCTATAAAAAAATCTTCTAATAATTCAGATAACTATCGCGGTATTAGTACCACACCTATTTTGACAAAACTCTTTGAATATACTATCATGCATGTATGTCTGGAAATATCAAACAGCCACTCTCATCAATTTGGTTTAAAGCAAAATAGTTCCATCTTGCATGCAGAGTTCCTATTGAGTAAGACATTAAAACACTATAATAATAATAATAACTCAGCAGTATATATCTTTAGTTTAGCTAAAGATATATACTGCTAATAATTTCAGCTTGTCTCAAGGTGTGCAACAAGGATCCATTTAATCGCCACATTAATACAACATCTACACTGAAAGTATATTAAGTCAAATTAATTCCGATTGTAAAGTTGGAACAACAGTAATGGGTTTATACACTGGTATTATTGCTTATGCAGATGATATAATCCTCCAAAGTCCTACTCTTTCTGGGTTACAAGAGTTGATAAATAATTTTCAAATGTAATGTCAAAATCTCTATATCAAATTAAACACAGAAAAAACCAAGTTCATTTTCTCCGGTAAAAGTTTAGTTGTTAAAAACATAATACAAATTATATTTTTTCAGGCTCTTACATGAAACTCAATAATAAACTGAAACACTTCGGATTCCTATGGGAAAATCAAGACCATGGATAAAATATAACTACAGTCCAATCAGCAAATGTAAACAAAAGAATTATTCAATTTCAATCAATCTCCAGAGCTCTTATAAAATCTGGAATTCGTTTTTGTCAACTATTAACTATAGTGCATTTGTTGAAATCTCTGGCTATACCAAATCTAACATACTAATCTATCATTGTCAAGGTGATACCAAATCATACGGATTAGAAATTTGTGATTTTAACTTAATTTATTAGACGCTGTTGGAAGATCATCATTAAAATTTCTCTTTAGTATTTTAAAATACAGCAAAAACTATTTGCATTCCTACTTTAAAATTGATGACGTATCTACCATCCTTGTTCGAAACAAATTGAATCTTTTTATCAAATTCTAAGCAATTTTACTTGTTTTTCCTTGATTTTAACTCAAATATCTAATGTTAATAAGAAAAACTGCTTTATTTAAGAAATAATGAAAATTTGCAACCGCCTGGAACTAAGCTTCATGCAGTGTTTGATTAAGGGGGAAAAATCATTATCAAATGTCTTAACAAGATAATATAGCGAAAATTTTAAACCAGTCATTTGAATTCTGGAACATCAGAGAACAAAGAATGATAATCAAAAATTTGATGGAAGAAAGCATTCTTAGAAGAATCTAAATTAGAATTTCAACTTAGAGTATAAACTATTAGTTTTATGCCCTTTGTATTTTTCACCTGTAATTTTGGGCGATGAAAAGAATAAATAAATAAATAACATGCTTTTTTTTGTTTCAATGTGTTTTTATTGTGTGGCTAAAAGGTGTCAAGACAGTACGCGACCAAAGTTATATATATATATATATAAATATTAATTTTATTGCTTATTTTTAAATCTTATTTAGTGGAATTGTCACAATCACGACTATATGGTTACACCTATTGTTATATATAAATGTGTATATATATATATATATATATATATATATATATATATATATATATATATATATATATATATTTATAAATATTTATATATATATATATATATTTATAAATATTTATATATATATATATATATATATATATATATATATATATATATATATATATATATATATATATATATATATATATATACATATATACAAGCAAAACTTAGCACAGCATTTATTTTTACTGATATCACTGTGTACCAGATTTCTATTTAATAAAAACTTGCTGATAACAAATTGAGTTTTTATACTTGATAGAAAATAGAGAAATTAAATTGAACCAAAAAGTTTTCAACAAAATTGTAACTTGAATATAATAATAAATGAATGTATATATATATATATATATACATATATATATATATATATATATATATATATATATATATATATATATATATGAAATATATATATATATATATGAAATATATGTATATATGAAATATATATAGAATGAATAACTTGAATAATTTTTCAACAAAAATGTAACTTGTAAAAAACAAGAAAACTGCAAACAACTTAAATATATATGAAAAATAATGTAGGCAGTTTTTGAAAATAATAAAAAGGAAATTGAAAAATTTTATTCTATTCATTATGTAAAAAAACGCACGAATAGACCATTATCGTAATAACGATATAAGATGTATAAAGCGGAATTAAATCACTTATAGCATTTTGCGATATGATATAGATGAGGATGATACTAAAAATTCTTACAAAAAAAAACTAAAACTTTTTTTTTTTCCAATATTATTTACCTTAATAAAACTTTTTTTTTTTTCGAAAATAATTTAGCTAATCGAAATGTTTTTTTTTATGAAACTAATTTAACTTTTCAAAACTTTTTTTTTTTTCGAAGTTTATTTAACTTTCAACATTCCAGAACTAAGACATTTTATAATTTGTTGTATAACTTTGATAAACATGCACTACAAGGTATGTCATTGAAAGTATATTACACAAATAATATTTCATTTTTAAAATGTGATATTTGTAATGGATTTTAATAAGTATTAATATGTCTCATGATGTATTAATATGTAATGATGTATTAATATGTAAGTATTAATATCATGATGTATTAATATGTAAGTATTAATATGTCTCATGATGTATTAATTAAAAGTATTAATATGTCTTTTTCAAATTAAAAGTATTAATATGTCTCATGATGTATTAATATGTAAGTATTAATATGTCTCATGTGGTAATCGCTTTTAGTGTGTTATTATATGTTAATGTTAATACGTGTTATAAAGTTATAGATTTATATTTTTTAAATGTTTATGTATGTTTTTATAAGTATGTAATGTTAGCAGTTAAAATATGTACAATAAACTCAGGATAATTCAATAGCCCTTAACAATATGAACTAATTTTGAAATTCTATTGAGCTTTTTTTATGCATTATACTCCCAATAACATTAATATTCTTTATTAATGTTATTGGGAAAATTAATTTCTTTGTCCCTTGAAGGTGTGAGTTGTTTAGAGTTTACCGTAATATGTTATGATATTTAATTAATTGTTGTGATGTTTTATGCTAATAGATTTAGCTCACATTCATGTTAGACAGTAAAGGTTATGGAAAAATGAAAAGCAAGTTTCTTATCCACTTATTCGCATTTTAGAATTTTCAAATTAATTGATTGCATGACACGTTGATTTGTAATTAATGTATAACAAGTGTTTAAAATAATTTTGCTCCATTTTTAGGTTGAGTTCTTTCTCTTATGGTTGATTTTTGAAAGTTTTCCTACAAAGAATAATTTAAGAAATGTTCTGAATGTTGATCGTTTTCTAAAAGCTATAACAAAGTTACGTCATTAATCTTCATAGCATTTACTAAAATCTATAGAATAATGAAACAATGTTATTATTTGAGTTGCTTTTATAAGTACTTTTGATATTTTTTTATGTTAAATATGTTTTTTTGTAATTTTATTTAAAAAAAAAAAATTCTTATCTTATCTCAAGAAAAATGTTTTTTGTTTCTCACATAAATTTTTATATTTTTTCTATTTTAAATAATTTTAATAAGGGTGTATTGCCATTTTCATTTTAATTTTATATTTTTCCATTATTTTATATGTGAATGGAATACATTGATACTTATATCACTTAGGTGATTATGGATCTAGATATTTCCATTCCCATTAAGAATGTATTTGTACCAAGATTTGATACAAATAATAGCTATAATAATTTAACAATTCGCAAATCCCACTAATAAAAACAGCTTAATTAGAAGAATATGTTATGAGTTGCAGAAAAGTATCTATAAGAAATCCAAACAAATAAAACTAACTTATATGACACAACTAGGATCCATGACCCATTTTCTTTCTTTGCTTTATAAAGAAATCTTAATGAGAGGCCTTAAAGGGATCCCTAAGTGCTATAAACATATGATCTCATATGAAAGAGCATTAAAAAAAAATGTTTAATGTTAAAGGGATCCCTAAGTGCTATAAAGATATGATCTCATATGAAAGAGCATAAAAAAAAATGTTTAATGTTAAAGGGATTCCTAAGTGCTATAAAGATATGATCTCATATGAAAGAGCATAAAAAAAAATGTTTAATGTATATTATTTTTTCTAAAATGTAATAATGAACACACACTAACAAATTTAATTTAAAAAAAAACGCTTTTCTTCTATTAAAAAAAATGCGTCTTGTCCAAAGTTTATTGACTCTATTGCCTCAAAAAACTAACGTTTGTACATCAAATTAAACAAAGTAGAGAAAATGTCATTATCCCAAACGTATTAGTTGGTAATTAAATTTAAAAATATAGTCGTTTTTTTTTAACTTACACATAATTACTTACAAGAATAAGTTTTTTTCTTCTCTTATAGCTCGGGCTGATGTGCGGTAATGGAGGGAGGGGTTGATAAAAAAGAATTAATAATAATAATTAATTCTTTTTTATCAGTTTGTTTTTCAAACAGTATAAAAATGCTAATAAAAACCAGCAATTTTTTTGCTCTAACATTTTTAAGCCTTATTTTAAACATGAAGTTTTGATAAACAAATCTAAAAACCAGGCTGTTTTGTTAGAATGAAGAAAAAATTTGAATTAACGTCTTTTCCCTTTTCAACTTTTCGCTTTAACGACCTTTTAAAAATTTTCCACACAGAGATTGAAAGTAATATAAATTCAAAAATGCTTTACGTTGAAAGAAAATCTCAGCGCAAAAGAGCATATCAAAAATACAAAAAATACAATGGAATAGATATTCATCTATCTATTCAGAATAATAAATTTTCTGTGACGTTCTTTATGATAAAAACATAACTTTTAAGAATTGCTAAAAAAAATGCTAAGCTAGAAAAAAAGTAATTAAATAACCAAAAAAAAACAAATCGCAAAAAGATTTTTTTAAAGAAAAAACTAATCACAAAAGTGTGAAAAGCAATCGCAATAAGCTTAATACGAGCCCTGTAAAACTTTTTTATAAGTTCTAAACTATTTAAAACTATTACTTAATAACTTTTTTTATGACGTCTTTTAACTGAATTCTATTATACTGTTTTTGCAAAACTAATTAAAAAAACTTGATTAAAACTTAACTATTTAATCACGACTTTTTTATACTTGAAAATCGAAGTAGATATTCTAAAGTTGTTGTGACGTACTAACGTGATTTTTAACAATTAACAATCGAGTTTCAATGGTAAAAAAAATAAAACCAAAATAGAGTTGTTTTTCAGTGATTTCAGCAACTGCTTTTTGTTAGCATGCATTTATTATTACAATTTAGTAAAAAAAGAAAAAAAATTTACATATTTTTTTTATGCTCTTTCATGTGAGATTATATGTAAAAATACTTAGGGATCCCTTTAAAAATATTAATCTTTGAAAATTTTTATTACAGCCTTAAATTAAGCACAGCCTCCAAAAACACTGAAATCTTACGCTAATATAATCTCTGTTTAAGATAGTTATGTAAACAATATTAAAGTAAATCATTAAACAAAAGTCAAGAATTTTGTATTGATTTGTTTTGCCGTAAACTAAGATTTATGAAAGTAAAAGCAAATTAAGTATAGATATAGTCAGTTGTGTAACGTAGTTACCATTGTACCAGTTTTTACATTGTTTTGTAAAGAATAATAACTTTCTAATTAAATTTTTTTTAAAAAGTGTATCAGTATTTTTTTTTACCTCAAGAAAAATGTTTTTTGTTTCTCCAAATTTCTTCAAATTTTTTTTTTTTTTCTTTGAAATTATTACTTATTTGACATAACTAGGAACTGCGACCCGTTTTATGTGTCCTTATTTGTGTTTTAAATAAATTTTAATGAGAATTTAAAAAAAAAAATTGTTTATAAATCTTTTTGTTAAAACCTCAATATTCCTAAAACACTGTAAGAAATATTATGTAAATGTTATCTAAATCCAAACGCCAAAAGTTTTAAATTGATTGATTTTCTGCTATTTATTAAAGTTCATTGACTGATGTAAGAAAACTAAATTATAAAACAAGTTTAGATGTAGTCAGGTGTGGAACAGATTTACCATGACCCATATCGTACGGGTCATGACAGCAAATTTATTTTATTGGGGTAGTTAAAAAAAGTTAACGTAGTAAAATTAAAAAAATATTTAAAGTTAATTTTATGACATCAAAATCACAACAAGTTAATATGTTAAGTTGTTTTTTATTTAAAACATGATATATATACATATATATATATATATATATATATATATATATATATATATATATATATATATATATATATATATATATATATATATATATATATATATATATATGTAAGAACTTTCTATATTCACATAGTATATCACAGGCATTATATAATGTAAGAACTTTCTTTATTCACATATCACAGGCATTTTATGAGCTGATTTGTGTCATTAATTTAAAAATCATTATAAAGATGATTATAAAGATCATTGGTGCTAAAATGACACAATTCATAGAAAGATTCTATTTAACTAAAAAGATATTTACAACACTTATGTTATCAAGATACTTTAAGGTGTCACCTGATGCGCAAGTTCATGAGCAATAACAACAGCCACCCATTGCTTGTTTGCTGAACTTGATTCTTTTTCATCATACAAAATTGAAGTTAACCGATAGGTAATCAACCCCCAGTTCTCCATAGCACCTGTATCAACAAACAGTTTAACTTTTATAAAAATAATATTTTTAGAAATCTGTTTTATTAAAAAATTAAATTTTAATATTTAAACACTTTAACTTATTTATAAATTAACTTAATATTAACTTAACTATTATTTCTATTAAGTTAATAATAAGTTTATTTATAAATAAACTTATTATTAACTTAATTATTATTTCTGACAATAGAGGATTACAATGTATACATTCTGACAATATAAATACAATGCATACAATGTAAAAATACAGTCAAAATAAATTCACACTGATTTTTCAAAGTTTTATTATAGTAATTAAAATCTAATATTTATATAAACTGCAAATTTACACAAATTATTAAAACTAGTTTTAAAACATTGTTTTATAGGAGCCCAAGGTATTTCACAAGGTAATTCTTAAATTGATTTACAAGGTAATTCAAACTGCTATATCAGTCTATGATAATTATGGAACAAATTTAGAAATCAATTATACACATGAAAAACATGGGATGAACATTTAAATTTACATGAAACAAGAACCATCATATTTAACTTAAAAGATATTTATAACATTTATGTTATCAAGATATTTTGAGGTATCACCTGATGCCCAAGTTCATGAGCAATAACCAATCAGGTATATGTCCATAAAAAGTAGTTTAAATCAGGATTTTATCCAACATCAAAAAAAAAATTTATTAAGCATATTTTATTTGTATATTTTGCATTTGTCTATTCTCTTTGTTATTTTTACATTCATTATAAAATTGCAGTTCATTAAAAAAAAAATTTTTAACTTCTTTTATCTGAATGTCGTGATAATCTTGAAGTGCTACATTGGTCATAGTTATTTAACTATGACCAATATATATTGGTTTTTGATTAGATTTTAATTAAATATAAATAAAATAAAAAACAAGTTAAATATAAATAAAATAAAAAAAAGTTTATTTTACTTTATTATTTGAAAAAGATAGACTAAATTGCTTGTCATTTGGGCTCGCTTGATTTGCTTGAATTAGGAATTGTCCATCAAGGTTAACAAGTTCTTACACTTCTGCAACTTTTCTTAATTTATCATAAAGATCTACATCATCATCTGTACACAAAAATTCATTAAGAAAAGTTGACTCGAAGCTCAAACATGTTACAATATTTTAACATTTCTTAAGCAATATTAAGACTTCAGAACATTTGTTGAGACCATCAGAAACCAAAAGTAAATTCAGCACATAAGCTAAGCAATGTTGAGGTTCTTCTTAACCCAGTAGTCTAGAAGTCTTCATCATGTTTGCAGCACCATCATGAACATTATGCAAACATAACTCTTCATACTGTTTGCTAAACATATCTTTAATAACATCCTACAGTATGGTTTTCCAGTAGAGCACAAGCTAAAGTGAAAACTTTTCTATCCCATTCACATGTTATTACTGAACCATTTGAGTATTACAAAACATTCTTTACATGTCTTGACTGCTTTAAGCATATCAATTAAACCTCCACATGTCAATGATGGAGTGACTATACCAAAGTTTTTTTCAAAAATTTTTACAAGGTTCAGCACAATTAACAAATCAGTACAAAACCAAAGTGCAATCTCATGAGTAATATCAAACTTTACTTTACCATATTTTCAATAAAGAGAATGAAATCTTTAAAAATATTTTTTAAAAGGATATGTTTTAATGATTTAATTCATAATAAATTTATTGGTTAAGATATATTTTAAACCATATTTTCAAATTTATGGGTTAAGATATATTTTAAACCATATTTTCAAATTTATGGGTTAAGATATATTTTAAACCATATTTTCAAATTTATTGGTTAAGATATATTTTAAACCATATTTTCAAATTTATGGGTTAAGATATATTTTAAACCATATTTTCAAATTTATGGGTTAAGATATATTTTAAACCATATTTTCAAATTTATTGGTTAAGATATATTTTAAACCATATTTTCAAATTTATGGGTTAAGATATATTTTAAACCATATTTTCAAATTTATTGGTTAAGATATATTTTAAACCATATTTTCAAATTTATGGGTTAAGATATATTTTAAACCATATTTTCAAATTTATGGGTTAAGATATATTTTAAACCATATTTTCAAATTTATGGGTTAAGATATATTTTAAACCATATTTTCAAATTTATTGGTTAAGATATATTTTAAACCATATTTTCAAATTTATGGGTTAAGATATATTTTAAACCATATTTTCAAATTTATGGGTTAAGATATATTTTAAACCATATTTTCAGCAGACCTTAGATTTGAATTAAAATAGCAGCTACTCATGACTATTAATAAGCAGCTGGATGTTACCGGTTGTTAACAAGATTGGCGGCGGCGAAAGAATAGTGGCAACTAGCAAGTACTCCTAGGCAAAAACGTTAGGGTAAACAGATTCTATTTGTTGACCAGCCTCGCATCACTTCCTCATCTATTAAACTCGCATAGATTTATTTATAATACATTGTTTCCAGTTTAAGATGTTGAATGGTGGATCATCTTGACTCAATGCATGGGTTTTGTTTGTGTCTCTGTTTTAATAACTAGCCAACTCATTCCATTATCTCCCAGTAAGGGTACAGCTATAATGCTCAGTTTTATGGTAGTCAGATTTCCTGACTTAGTGTGATTTTTCTGACTTAGAGGCTGATTATATCAACAGTCATAAAATATTTTAGTACTAATAGTGCCATGTTGCGCATAGATGGTGTCATTGTTCAAACTTTTGGTGTGCATTATTGAGGCCACATTCATAGCCTTTGTTATGGCTTCAAATTTATTAATAGTAGTGAGGCGATTGCTTGAACTATTGAATGCACTATTAAATAGTGTACTGCGTACTATTTTTGAGTCAAATTCTTTAACCAATTTAAAAAATGACTAAAGGATCAAAAACTGCAAAACACAAAAAATCACTAAATCTATCATTCACTGATGTTCGTTGTCTTTAAAGTAACTTTTCTTCTGTTGAGTTTTAACTTTTGCAAAGTTTACCAGACTTAGTTGCTCTTTGTGAGACTAATTTGAGTTTGGCTGTCTTATCTTGTGATCTTAGTGCTGATGGTTATCTTCCTTTAATTTGAAAAAAGACTCCAATAGTCACATGCTTGGTCTGAGCATTAACATTCGTAAGAATTCACTCATTTGTTGGGAAACTAAGCTTGAATTCACTAACTATTCTTTTATGTGCTTTCATTTAGCACCAATTCACTCTATTGCCTTTCTTTTTGTTCTATATTGCTCTCCTTTATCTCAAAACATTTTTCAATATTATTTCTGATTAAATTGACCAAGCCCTTTCTCTTTCCTTGGACTCGGACTCTTTCCGTGGTTTTCTTTGTGTTGGGTAGAAATGGTTCATCTTCCTGCTAACAAATGTGCTTCTTACATAATTTCTTGGATTCAGGCTGGCCTGGATTTATTCTCTCTCAACGGTTCTAAGTCAAGCCTTAGTCTTCTCCATGGTTTTCCTCAAATTGTGCTGTTACAATTTCCAATTGAAACAATTACTTCCATATCCAACCCTCAGAATTAGGAAAAATAAAGTTGGCAATAATTTGCCGACCTCAATCTTTTTTTGGTCGGCATCAAGTCGGCAAAAATTATTTGATACAAAGGTCTGACCATAAAACATAGAAACAAGGTCAGCAATATTTTGCTGACCTCAAACACTTTCAGGTCGACAGTTGAGGAACCTTGAGGAACCCCTGAGGTTACAGAATAAGAAGAAGATGCAACCCTCAGAATATGCAACCCTCAGAATAGGGTCGGCATTTGGCAATGCCGACCCTATTCTGAGGGTTGCATATCTATCAGCAAAACAATTCTTCAGAAAACAGACGCCTGTTTATTATTGTTAGAAACCATTGTAAAAAGGTTTTGTCTAACGCCAAAACCCGCTATTCTCGGGTCATAAAATCTCGCATTTTATTTCAAAAATTAGGCTCTCATGACTTTTGGAGAAACTTTAACAGTATAAATAATAAGGGCAAATCTGCTATTCTACCTCTCTTGCATGATTCAGATTTTGTGACCTCACCTAAAGACAAAGTTGATTTGTTTGCTAAGAACTTTTTATCAATATCATCTCTAGTAGTGTTCTACCTGATATAGCCGACAAATAGGTTGATCCATTGCTTGACATTCGTATCACTCCAACTTCTGTATCTAAAGTGATTTCCTGCTTAGACTCTTTTACAGCTTGTGATCTGGACAACATACCTGTTTTGCGGAAGTGTTCTCCTGAGTTGCTGCCTATACTTTCAAAACTATTTAATAAGTTCTTACCAGAGTCTTGTTTTCCAGTCTGCTGGAAAGCGGTATCCATTATACCTATTTTCATAAGTTCTTGAGAGTGGTCTGACTAGTCTAACTACCGTTCTATTAGTCTTCTTTCTACCATAAGCAAGGTTTTTGAAGCTTTAATTATCAAACACTTAATCTCTCATCTTGAATCTAATAACTTAATTTCTGATCAACAATATAGACTTCAATCTTCTCATTCTACAGCTGATTTGCTAACAGTAATAACAGATAGTTTTTATCATGCATTAGATAGAGGTGGAGAGGTTAAGGTTATCGCTTTTGATATTTCTAAAGCTTTTTATAAAGTTTGGCATGCTGGTCTTTTTTATAAGCTTTCTTCTTGCGGTGTATCTGGTAACATATTTAAGATTATTGAATCCTTCCTTTCCAATCGTAGTTTAAAAGTTGACCTCGATGGACAGCACTCTTCTTCTTATTCTGTAACCTCAGGGGTTCCTCAAGGTTCAATCTTTGGCCCTATACTCTTAAAAAAACTCTTATTTGCCTAGTTTTTTTCCTCGAATATCAGTTCTTTGGAATTCACTTCCTTCATCTTGCTTTCCTGATTCATATAATTTGCAATATTTTAAGTCACCTGTCAATTGTTATCTTATTCTATAAACTTTATCTTTTCTCCTCCGATAACTTCTAACTTGTGGTTGTTAAAAAAAAATTTTAAATTTTATTAGTACATTGCTTACATTTCTTGTTCTCAGGTTCCAATGACTGCAATTTTTTTTTAATATCCTTATTTAACATAAGCATGAACATGTTTAAATTTGGAGTTTTCACAATGTCTGAAGAATCATATCTAAAATATTGAAAAAGCCTGGACCCGGCACTGCCTTGAATGTTAAACTCATATTGCCAACTTAAATTATAATTATAATTCTAGGCATTTTCAGGCAGTGGAATTTATAACCATGAAATTTTACATTTCATGAAACAATTGAGTTTATATGTAGGATTCTATGATATTTTTTGAAATCATTTTGTTTCAAAATGATAGAATATATTATCACACAATATTTCCTTCTTCCACTGATGGCAACACTAACAATGGATCAATGGCAAACAATTTTTTTAGTTCAAAAACGAGAGAGTCAATCAGCTCGGTAAATTTTTTATTTGTAAGACAGAAGACCAAGATAACTTCTCTGCTTTGTTATCTAAGTTTAACATACCTCTGAGAATTAATCAGAATGTTAATGCTAACAAAAAAGTTGATCCTACAAAAGTTAAAGAAGATGGTTATAGACTGATGATATTTCATAAAGAGACATTTCCACGGTTATGCTTAGTCCCAGGGTGCATCAAATGTGTGCACATAACTGTTTTTGATTACAGATGAATCACTTATCATTAGGTATTCTGAAAAGTCAGGAGAAAGTTGGAATAAATACATTATTATATCAGGCTTATAAATTGCGAATATAAAATAAGCTTAAATAATGTTAAATATTGATACATTTTGAATTCAAATACATTTAATTTTCAGTATGATATCCTTTCCCAAAATTTTTTATTTATTATTAGATGTGATTTATTTTATAATAAAAATACAACTAACCTGCAGCAAAATCTGGTATAGCTATTAAATCTAAAAGTACAAAAGTAAAAATATAAAAAGTTAAATATTAATACAAATAAAAAAGAAATACATAACATAAAATTATACACAAAAAACTTATTATGTGGTTTGACTTGGTCAACTTAATATGTGGTTTGACTTGGTCAACTTAATATGTGGTTTGACTTAAATTAATAAACTTATTATGTGGTTTGACGTGGTGGTTACTTATTATGTGGTTTGACTTAAATTAATAAAATCAATAAGTTCCTATCATAAACACCGAAGTAAACAAATTTGGTGAAACAAATGTTGATACAGAACATTGAATTATATCTGTATCAAAATTTGTATGAAAATAACACTCTCGAGTGTGTATTTCACATATAACACACGCTATGTTTCTAAATTACATATTTTAATAACAACTTTAAGTCAGGTGTTCAAATCCAGTCATTTTAATATAAGTAATTAACAGGAGCAAATTGCTTAAAGCCAAGTAGCTCTCATTATCAACAGAAAAATTAAAAAATAATTTTGTAATAACTGCCTATAATATCTGACAAGAATTCGGATTGGTTATAGCATAATTCAGATTCTCCATATTCTCAATAATTCAAAATAGTTATGTGGCTACTATTTTTTTTTGTTTTTGTTATATGGCTACAATTTATTTTGTATTTTTGTTATGTTGCTACAATTTTTTTGTATTTTTGGTAAACTCTTCAATTTACTATTAAAATAATACTAGCACTTAAAGGTGATAATCTTTAGCCGCGAAAAAGCCAGCTTACATATGAGAAGGAAAATTCAGATATACGAATCTGAGTTTTCCTTTTCTTAGATAAACCAAATTTAATTGTAAGGGCAGAGAGCTTTTAAAAATTGTAAGGGTAGAGAGAGCTTATAAAAATTGTAAAGGTAGAAAGAGCTTATAAAAATTGTACCACCTGCTCAAACCAAGCAATTGTTAAACCATGGATGTTAAGCTTAAAAACTGCCTGCTCAAACTACGCAAGTGTGAAAACCATGGAGCATAAAAAATTATTTTGTATCATTTTTTATTTGACATGCGTTCATTATTATATGCATTCATTATGGTATATCCATAAAATATACACACATCTAATGAAATTAAACAGAATGTAAATAACAACATACCTTGCTTTGGAAGTGGAAAATTAACTTGGAAAAACGTTTCATAATAATCAAGTACTTTAGGTGCAGCATATATTGCAAAATTTGCTTGCTCAATTTGTTCTTTAGGAGCCCAAACTTTTACCTGAATTAAAACTTTTCTTTAAAAAAAAATTATGAAATCATTAAAACATCTTGTTTCACCAACTTAAAAAAATTGTTATTACATTGGTTTTTCTTGTTTTGTTTTATTTATTACCAATTTCACCTCCAAAAGGCTCCACTATAGTCAAAGAGACTATTTTTAATCATTTATTTGTAACTCTCTTACAATTCTCTTTTTTGCATTACAAACCTTGTTGAATTGTGCAAAAAAAGGTTGAGGGTGTATTTCTAGAGAGACGTAGCGCAGATTTAAACCTGAAACCTCTTGATTTTGAAATGAAAATCACTAGTTTGCTATTGAACTAATGTTACTAGATAAAACACCTTTATATAAGTTACTAGATAAAACAACTTTACTTAAGTTACTAGATAAAACAACTTTACTTATGTTACTAGATAAAATATCTTTACCTAAGTTACAAGATAAAACATTACTTAACAATTATAGTTTCATTGAAAAATTAAATTCACCATTAAAAATGTATATTAATTATTTCATTATTAAACAATCTTATACTTTTTTTTGAAAAAAAACAAACTTTTAACCTCTATTCCTCTAGATGTTTTTGCACTTTTGTAACCATAATCACAAACAACAAAAGCCACTAAATAAGTGCTCATCATTAAACTTTGCTGAAAATGATCTTCTTTTAGTCCATCTGTTCTGTTAATCTAAATTAAATAATCAAAAATAAAAACTACATATCTTAGCAGCCATTAAAGCCAAGGTAATGGCAAAAAAGAGTCTCTTGGCACTTTTTTATAAGTATTTCAAATTTATATACAGATATGTATACAAACTACGCAAATGCAAAATATTCTATTTGTATAGCATTGAGTACAAACATCTGTAAATGTTAATGTCTTTAGCATAAGTTAATTTTAATGGTAGTATATGAAACAATTGTGTATAATATATGAATAATATGAGAAAACTTTTTAACTTCATTTTAACAATTAAAAATTAAACCTGAGTGAATCAAAGGAACTTAAGTTTTTTGCTAAACATACTTTTTTGCTGTAAATATATATATAGCAAAATTAAAAATATAAAAATGTATCATGCTAAGGGGTGGATTGAACGCTCAGAAACAACACTGATGACAGCGCACTAAACTACTGAGCATACTTAAATGTATATTGAAGATATATATTTAAGTGAAAAACAAACTATTTTATAAATCTCTTATATTTTACGGGTACGAGCAGCTAGGATATATGTGAATAAAGTTGAAAATTTCCTGAAAATTTCTGGGAAATTTTGCTTAAAATTTCCAAAACTTTTCAGAAAAATTTTATTACAATAAAGTTATAGTTATTATATAGTTTTATAAAATTTCTTTGTTTAATAAATAAGCATTTTATCATTGTAGTATTTGGGTATTCTTTAAATATTTCAACAAAAAATAAAAAAATAACAAAGTTTCACAAGCAAAAAACACTTCTTTTTGTCAAATTTTTATAATCAATTTAAGAATCACAGTTTTTTTTAAAAAACAATAAAACCCTCAAGTTGTTATATGTTACTTTTACTTACATTACTTTTATGAAACAACAAAAAGTAGATGTTTTCCAAGTTAGCTTGTCTTTTGAGCTTTTGTAAACATATTTCTAGCTTTTACTCAACTACAATGTAAAATATTCACAAAAGACGAGTAATAAAATCTTTCTTAGATTAACTAGTTTTATTGTATATAATTTTTGTGGGGTGTTTTAAAGAAACAAAGATTTTTTATGTGTAAAGATTGTATACAAAAGCAATTTTAGGGGAAGGGTGTGTGTGGAGGATGGGTGTGAGGGAAAAGGGGTCTTAATGACTATTATATTTAAAATTCAAAAACATCAAATAAAATTCAAAATGTTGGAAAATCAAATATTTTTGTGTCAAATATAATTTAATAAACTTAATATTTTACTGATATCATTGAATCGGTTAAGCTTATATTAAAGTTAAAGCTAAACGAAAGTAAAAATTAGAACTACAACAGAAAAATTCAGAATACTAAGTTTCCTAACCTCCATAAGTCAGACATTTTTGAAAAGTTTGACATGGAGAGCTTTGCTTAATTTGTAAGTCAGACAAAATATAAATCTCTTCAGAGTCTGGGTTAACAGGATTCTGCTGTTTATTGTTACCAATATTATTAAAAATATTAATATAAATAATATTATGCTGTTTGTTATTATTAATAGTATTAAAAATATTATTATTAATAATATTCTTCTGTTTATTATTATTAATCTAAATATAATTTTTCAGTGAATATTATTAGTGCGCATAGTTACGCGTATTGTTTTTTAGTTACGGTACGGTTCTGTATCTGTAAAATACACTTTTTAAGTAGTTTCTAGACTTTTCTTTACCGCGTGCTTTCTTAAAGATTTCCTTTCAAAAGATTTCCTTTCAACCTTTCATGGTACGAGTTCAAAATGTCCAAGTTGACATTAAGTAGATAGTGTTTAGTAGCTTAAAATTATAGGTAATCTAAAATCTTTTTTAAATTTTATAAGTAATTAATTTATTGTAATCTTTTTTAAATTGTACTTTTAAATTTAAAGCTCAGTGTTATAGATTACTTTAATTCTTAGATTGAGTTTAGTGTTAAAATATATTTTTGGGTAGTTTCATGCTTTCACATAGTTTTGGTTATTGGGATAAAAGCCATGACAACATTTTGTTATAAATTTATCTTAATTTAATTTTTATTGAAAATATTGTTATAAATAAAATTTATTTTAAGTATTTTTAATACTTTTGCTCTTTGAAAAAAAATATGTTTCTGGCTCTTCAATAAATATGTAATAATTTGTCTTGCATGAATGCAAGACAAATTATTAATTTGGTTTAGGATTTAATTGTGTTATTTTATGTTTGTCTTTCTGTATTTAATATAGCATTTATCATTTGCATACACTTTTATTTAAGTTTAATTGTTTATAATTTATTTAGGTTATTAGAAAATTCATGTTTACAGAGTTGTTATTAATCATAATCCAGTTGTTAAACCAAGGAAATTGTGGAGGTTTAATTATCATATATACTATATATATTATATAATAATATTGGAGGGAGTAAGTTTAAAAGCATTTTTAAATTTTTAAAAAGAAATAAAAATACTTTTCAATATATATATGTTTTCTTTGAGGTAGAATTAAAGTTTCAGTTTTTCAAAATTTAAATTTAAAGTTTCAAGTTTTCAAAATCTTTTCAAAATGTCTAAATAGACATTGAGTATATATAAAATCTTTTTAAAATTTTATAAGTAATTAGTTTATTGTAATCTTTTTTAAATTGTACTTTTAAATTTAAAGCTTCGTGTTATACATGTTAATATTGAAAATATAGATTACTATAATTCTTAGATGGTGTCTACCATTAAAAGATATTTATGGGTAGTTTCATGCTTTCAAATGCTTTTAATAATTGGGATAAAAGCCATGACAACATTTTGTTAAAAATAAAATTTATCTATAGTATTGTTAATACTTTGGCTCTTTGAAAAAAAAATGTTTTTTTTCTTTTCAAAAAATTTAATAATTTGTCTTGCATGATTGAACTTTGGTTTAGGATACAATTGTGTTATTATATGTTTGTTTTTCTATTTATATCTAATTTATAAAGATTTAATTTATAATTAAGATAAATATAATTTATTTAATTTATAATTAAGATATAAAATAAAATATCTAATTTATAAAGATTTAGATCATTAGAAAATTTATATTTACAGAGTTGTTATTAATCATAATCAAGTTGTTGAACCAAAGAAATTGTAGAGGTTTATTTATCAATAAAATGTTATATATATATATATATATATATATATATATATATATATATATATATATATATATATATATATATATATATATATATATATATATATATATATATATATTTATATATATATATATATAAATATATATATATATATATATATATATATATATATATATATATATATATATATATATATATAACTATGTATATCCTTGGAGTTGCGGCAGCGTAATAGTGTGTTGGGGGAAAAAAATTTATAAACCTGCGTTAATAACCCGTTTTCTATTGTACATAACGCGTTAATAAGTTTTATTACCCGTTTGTTCAATGTTTTCTCCCAACGCATGCCTTATGACGCTGTCTGCTAAGATATGTTGTTTGTTTCTAAATTTTTTTTTCTTTATTAGAAACAGAATAAATTTTAACTTTTTTTAATAAGTTTTTGCTAATATGGTTGCAGGTTTTTCTTAACTTCTATCAAATAAACTTAAGAAACCTGTATTACTTTTGACGATAGCAAATTAATTTTATTTTGCATTAGTTTGGATTCTTTATATATTTGTGTTGAGAAAATTTTTTTTTTAATTTTTTGAGTAAGATTTTTTTAGTTATTTATTAAGTTTTTTTATTTTATTGTTAACTTTAGAGTAGTAAAAAAAAGAAATAATTAGTGTTGCTTTGATAAATATGTTTAATTAAAATGATGACTTTGAAATGAATGATAGGCTAGATGAAGTTATGTATTTACAAAATGATGTAAGTGCTATAAGACGTGTTGAAAATAGTCGTAGACGAAATGAAAGAAATAGACTTAGGCAAGATGAAATTAATCATTTACAAAATGAAAGAAATAGGCTTAATTGAGAAAGCGTTAATCGTCGCCAAAACGAAAAAAATAGGCTCGATCAAGATATTGTTAATCGTCACCAAAATGAAAGAAATAGACTCGATCGAGATAATGTTAATCGTCGCCAAAATGAAAGAAGAGCTGTTGGACAAGGATGAATGTATTCTATAGCGAAAAGTAATACTATTCCAGATTATAGTTATTTAGGAGAAATGAATCAAATTTGTCAGCACTGTGGTGCTAAGAAATTTCCAGATGAAACACATTTTCTATGTTGCCATAATGGTAAGGTAGCTTTGCCTCCACTTTCACCAATTACACAAGCTTTACAGGATTTGTTTACAGGGAGTTATGTAGATCGTAATGCTAATGCTAATTTTTTAAAACATATTCGAAATTATAATGCCTGTCTTTCTTTTGCTTCTTTTACAGCAAATGTAGTTCAACCAATGAATCATGGGCCTCCATGTTTTAAAATATGTGGCCAGATTTTTCATCGTGTAGGTAATCTTAGGCCAGATCAAGATATTCCACCAATATATTCTCAACTATATATTTATGATCCACTTGCTGCACTAAATTTTAGAATGCAACAACGTGGTAACAATCTTTGTTTACGTGATTTAATGTTTCAATTGCAAACTATAATTATGAAACAAAGTCCATTTGCTCTTGCATTTAAAAACATGGCTGAAGTAGAAGATGAAGAAATTCGTAAGGCGGCTATAGAAGGTCGCTCTGCTTCTGTTGTAAAAATGTCTTTACTTGAGGGCGGTGATAGACGTCGTTATAATCTACCTTCACATGATGAAGTTGAAGTTGTATTTGTTGGCAAAAATGGTGCTCCCCCAACTTCCAGGGAAGTTATTATTTACCCAAGAGATCATCCTTTAAAAATTGTATCAAGTATGTCAGCCAACTTAGATCCTATGGTTTATCCACTCTTTTTCCCAAGAGGTGATACTGGTTGGCATAATCAGTTAGTGCATAACCCTGAGCGTGCCACAATGGTTAGAAATCATGTCACATTATCTCAGTTCTACA